GGGACAGACTCTGCTCTGGGCTGGGTTCACCGAGAGGGTCCCGCTGAAGTAACTGCCCTAGTTTTCACACGAGGGTCATAGTTGAAGTCTTTTCTGTTGTGTTTACACTCTTCACTGTTGTGTCCTCACTATAGAGACAGAGTGGACCCACCCCAGCTGCAGTCATTGTGTCATAGTTAACAATCCAGCAACTGCAGCCAATAAACCTGCCACTGCTTAATAACAGGTCTGTGTCTGCCAATCAGAATCAGGGCTTATAAACCCTCCAACTATTTACTGATGTGTGTTAATGTATAACTATGAAAAGAAAAACCCTATCAAAATATTAAAGAAATTAGAAAAAGAAATATGAACATCTACTACTACTACAACTAATGATGATAATATTAATTAACTTTGTATATAACTGGCTAAAAGTCATAGTATAAACTAGATATATTATAGTAAGTGTTTTAAAAAATGTATTTCTAACTGCAGGGTTCAAACTATGACTTGGAAAACACTAACATCCTTCAATCCAGTATAAATGCTGGTTCTGTGTTTCTTCTAGTTGCAGTATAATTTCATGCTGGAAACCACAGTGATGATCTCAGAGGTGACGTGGGAAGTTAAACTGGGAGGATTTAGGCCCAGAAAGCTCCAACCGACGTGGGGAAAATGTCCATCTCACATCCTAAATATACTGTAGCTTCAAAACTGGATTTCACAACATGGAACAAACCCTTGGGAGAAAATAATGTGTCCCTGTGTGATCGCAGAGAGATCTTTGCTTTATTCTATCTCACCTCCTCTCTTATCAGTGTCTGGATCAAACGAAGATATACCATGAGATGAAATCACAATCTCAGGCTGGTGTTTTCATGCAGAAATGACAAAAAGCAGCTTCCTGTAATTCTTTCTCAGCACAAACCTGATCCACTTATCACTGCTGTTGACTCTAAATCACTCTAATTAACCCATTCAAACCCATTCAAAGTGATCCTCTCTTTATTTCTGGGATGTCACATAATCTGTGAGATGCTTGTTTTCCTGATGGAGAATAAAAAAGACATGAGAACACTCCCCTGTGGGTGTGGCCTGCAGCAGCAGCTCTGAGTGGGAGGAGCCTTCAGATGAGGATCAGTGGCTTCACCTTCATGTGTGTGTGTATGTGCGCGCGCGCTCCAGGTTAAGTAGCTTCAGATATAATTCCTTCGTGTACTGTCACCAAAGTGGGGACATTGTGTAGCAGTGACCAGCATCGACCCGGTTGTCTAATCTGTGTGAGGACAGACTGAGTGTGTGTGTGTGTGTTGGAAGTCTGCGGCTGTGCGCTCTGCTCCGTGCGTCAAACCAAACATCCAGCCGGAGGATCCGAGCGAGCGCGACGGTAAGAAAGAAGGAAACAAGCTCCAAACACTACGTCTGGTTTTGTGCACACGTGTAGTTTTCACTCTTGTGTTGAGTCACAACATGACTCTGCTGTTGTCGGTGCTGTTGGACCACGTGTGTGCGCCTTGTCTTGTTATTTTCGCTTGACACTTTAGACACTGTGATTGACATGTGCGGCTGGGTGGAGGAGTTGGGTGTCTCCAGTGTGTCTCTCTCTGTCTCTCTGACCCCGGGGACAGACTCTGCTCTGGGCTGGGTTCACCGAGAGGGTCCCGCTGAAGTAACTGCCCTAGTTTTCACACGAGGGTCATAGTTGAAGTCTTTTCT